TTTTCATATATCTGTTGGCCATTTGTATGTCTTCTTTTGAGAAATGTTTGTTCTGAAGGCTGTAATATGACTTTTGACAGAACTGGTTACCTGCTCTTCCCATCCACTAACTTCCTGTGCCAGCCATGGATTAAAAACATGCAAGGAAAAGAGTTTTAGTGTCGTGAACTAAGAGTAGCTTTATAGCAATTGACCTAGTCACCTACTTGTAATCAAAGAGAGAACCATATAAATACATCAAGCTATAACTTTTAAAAAATCTCCCCTAAGTTTTTTCTGGCTTAAAGTTAACAACCCTTTGTAGCAAGTCAACCCAAATTATTATATCAATCAACATTCTGCAAGCAATTGAAGATTGGTCGAGGAAGTTAATCTAACCTTGCTCTAGGATATTTCTTGCATAGTTTCTCGATCAGGATATTTATTTGATGACACTTGCTATACATCGTTTTAAAGAAATTACTATTTCAACTTTAAGACAAAAAGCTTTGAGTCCTGCAATAGGGCAGAGTCCCAAATTACTTTCTTTACAAAGATCTTGCCTCCTATGCCATAACTCACTAGGGTAGGCTATTTAATCCCCAGGTACTATTAAGCCCTTTTCCTTTCATAAGATGTAAATTCAAGTTATTTCTTCTTCACTGTTGCAATGTTTATGAATACCTAACGGGCACATAAAAAAACTAACTCCAGTATTTATTCTTTATACTCAGGGCTAATACTTATCAGAATAAACAAGATATGTGAAAGATTTTTGAAGGAAATGCAGTTTATTATTATTTCCCAAAATCAAGAATTTTCTACATACCCATAAATACCAAAGATATTTACATAGAGGCTTCCAGAAGTCCGTTTCTCCTCCATGTGTTTCTGAGCATGAGATTTAGTCAGATTCTTAGAAGGGTAAAAAACATCTCTGGTTTTCTAAAGTGTATTCCCAGATCAAGCCAGTCCAGTAGGGAGTTGAACACTTAGAATTTGCCATTTTTTTCCCCTCTCATCCATGAAACTCACAGCTGAATTTACTCTAAGGGTGTTATTAAAATGTTACTAATCTCATTGCAGCTTTTTCTCCTGAAAAATAATAAAAGATACTTCTCTAAGGTTTCATAACAAGGAATGGTTGTGAAGATAGTCTTTTAAAGTAAGAGTAAAAAGCTGGGCTCGGTGGCTCAGCCTGTAATCCCGCGCCTTTGGGAGGCTGAGGTGAGTGGATTGCCTGAGCCCGCGGGTTCGAGACTCGCCTGGGCAACTTGGCAAGACCTCATCTCTACAATAAATCAAAAAAATTAGCTGGGCGTGGTAGGTGCGCCTGTAGTTCCAGCTACTTGGAAGGCTGAGGCAGAAGGATTGCCGGAGCCCAGCAGGTCGAGGCTGCGGTGGCCGAGAGCGGCCACTGCACTCCAGTCTGGGTGACAGAGTGAGACTCCAACTCAAAATAAATAAATAAATAAAGAGCAATGTAATATGTTCAGTTCTGTGTTGGATGCCAGAAAGTTTAGAGCCAAATTCTCAACCTATCTCCTGTGCAAGTAGTTAGGACATCACAGCATGTGTTTTTTGTTACTTATCATTGGGATTTGAGGAGCTAATTAAAAAACCACCCATTTTCAATTTTGTCTAGGTTCTAATCTATTTGAGAAGTAGACACGAGAGATAGATAGAGATCCAAATATCAGTCTTATTACCAAATGAAGCTGGGTGGGAGAATGTAGCTTGGGTGTGAGGAGAACCATGCTGGTAATACACCATCCTGAGTTAGACACACTGGCCCATCCCCACCTGCAGGAAGATGTGACTGCAAACAGGCACCCTTGCCCCAGAGGGGCAATCTCTCAGTGTCTTCTCTCAAATGCACAATCAGAAAAATGCTTGTGACCCTGGTTCTTGCCTACATCCCTGAGAGAGGAACTGGGGAAAGTGCCCAGGATCATACTCTAGGGAAATCTTTCCCTATGGGGCGAGGAGAACAGTTATCCCCCCCAACACTGACCTTTATTTCTTTTCTCTTTTTTTCTACCTCATTCTCCCTTTGCTCGGTTCGATCAATGACTTAGCTAATGGCAGCATATATATTTTTGTAAAATTCTTTAGATTCTTTTCGGAACAGGTTGGGCCAAATAATTTAACTAATTAATTCATTTTAAGATCACAGGAGCCCTAATTTTTTTGTATGAATTAACAAAACCCTACTCATTTTAGAGAGCTCTAAGAGGGATTGTAGGAGACTGTCAATTAGTGAATTATTTTTCTACTGCTTCTCAGAGTTTAACTTAAAACTCTTTGTTTCTTATCTGTCTTTCATAAGATTTCTTAAAACTCTGTTTTACAAATATGAAGGAACATCTATACTTAAATTAAGGCCTATGAACAATGACTCACCCCAGATTAGCTAGAATTCATATCTGCAGAGAAGATAGATATTATAAAATAATTTTCTATCATGAATTCATTTTAGAAAAGCCTATGCCAAGTTCTTTAACACAAATTTTAGAACCAATATATTCAAATGTATAGAATGTCTTCTAAGAAAATCTGTTTAAAAAGTAATGCCTTTGTTTCAATGAAGCTGTTAACTATCAGAGATTTTTTTTTTTTTTTTAATTTTTGAGTTGGAGTC